ATTATCCTGTTGTTTGATAAAACTACTAAACTTCGAAATGATAAAATGATGTAACCTTTTAAAACTAGTTTTTCTTGGTGTGTCACTTTGTAACTGGTAATTGCATGACATCTAGCTTTCATCTGGCTATGTTTGTATACATACCGTATAATGGTAAAACAATGGCGAAGACAATCAACAATGCTACGGTAAAGTAAATACAGTTTAATTTTATGAGTTCTACCTGTAAAGAGAAATCTTTTACTACTAGCCCGTTTCTTTTGTTACTTTTTTTTTTGTATCTTACTTGCACGACGTTTTGAATCAAAAAGTAGAAATAGAAAAGTTATTACTTCGTAATTTTTACAGCCTCCATCAAGAGTTGGTTGACTTTTATGGATTATCTGTTTCACAGATGATGACGGATAAGTTCTAATTGTCATAACCACAATTCCGTCCTCTTTTCCCTGCATGTGACCTACTGAATTAGACGTATCAACTGGTTTGTACTTATATGAGGATCACAACGAGTGTCACATGTGGAGACGAATTTGCTTGCCCTTCCAGAGCACCTGTAATCATCCCCAGTTTTTGATGGGGTTCGTTTTGTTCAGTCTTCAGTTTTCTTTGTTGTGTTTTGTAAACTGTTGTTTGTTTTTTAATTTTTTTTTTGCTATGGCGTTGTCAGTTTATTATCGACTCATGAGATTGAATGTCCCTTTGGTATTTTTCGCCTCTCTAGTACTTTTTACTTTTTTAAGATGGTTGCATAATTAAAAAGATAAGAGACAAACAAATGTCCATACTGGTTTATATAAATTTATGGATCAACAACATATAGTTTTTTATGAAAAAATTATGGATTTGAAATTGCAGATTTGACGATTTTAAGACAAATTCAACAACGTTTTTCGCCGATTTTCTGTGCTTTCCATACAAATGATCCCCTATTTTAAAAGAAAATAAAAGAGTTAAATGCGTTATCTATTTTAATTTCATTTACAGTTTAACGAATCAAAGTTGTATGCAAAATTTTACCAAAATCTGTAATATAGCCCATTTACTGTTCATTGACCATAACACTAGCGCTTCTTCGTTCTTAAGATGTATCCAAGTAAACGTTTTGATAATTTCTGTGTTACATATAACTACAAGAAGCAAAACAAAACGAGAAAAAAATAAACTTGTATATAACAAAAATACGAAAAACAAATTAAAACTTTTTCAATTCAACGACGTAGAAAAATAAAATAAGAAAAGGAAATCAGACAAACTTACATGTGTTATATGAAATCAATAAAATAAAGAACAAAATATATGAATCTAAAAAAAAAAGCTTTTTATGTTGGGAATGAACTGTAAAGCTAAATAATGGATTCTGTCTAGTTTATAATTTTTCTAATACCCATATAATTTTGTAATTCAAATTTTCAGTTTATTTTTCTTGCTCATTAGATTAATGTGGTATTCATGTAGACAAAATGATTGATAAGACACGTGACACAATTCATTACCCATCCCGATATATGGGTGATAGTTTATTTGACGTTAAGACTAAGTTTGCGCTTTAACGATTCAAGGCAAACTGACAAGAAGTTTGTAAATCGAAACATTTCATGATTACAGTTACTCTTGCAGCCAGTAAATTCATTATCATTTTATTACAATTCAGCAATTCGGGCCGCAATTAGCTTTTCATAAATATTGTTTTCTGCACACTTTTCATATGAATTATATTCCTTTAAAAACCACTGCTTTTTTGGTGACAAGGTGTCCGTTAACATGAAGTGGATATGAACTCACTGAATGTGAGAGTAACTCTTTTCATAAAAAGTCTCCGTGTACAGTGTTTCTATAGCTCTGCTGGGGGTCAGGTCGTTCAAACAATAAAAGCTGCAAAACAGAAATAGAAGTTGCATATTATTACAAAAAGAGTCGATTTGCTAGTGAAAGGAACTAGAAGTGACTGGATTTTGAAGAAAAATGACAAAGTGAAAGCTAGGGACAAACCAGTGATACCTGAAACTTTTTTTGTCAGTTATAGTTCCAAGCCCAGGGCAAGTTTGAAGAATTTTTTATATAGGTCTCATAATGTTTTACGGTCACCACCACTTATTGGTTGACCAATTAAATATGTAAGCATAAGATGGTGACATGCCCTTGTAACCATCTTATGGTGTTTATATATCTCAACTAGTTCGATTCGCTCGTGTATGTAACAACGTATTTGATTTCAACGAAAGAAATCTCTGTATTACTGAAAAACTATTACACCAGGGGTTTCGATATCACAATCTAGTCAAAACATTTACTAAATTTTTTCATCGGTACAAGGACATCATTCGTAAATATAAATCAACATGCAGACACCTTATACGTTTAGGTATTTCATATCCAATTTTTTATGGTAATATTCTATACAATGCACAACAAAAATGTCGACATTCACCTCAAAAGCTAACCAAACCTTTAAACAGACTTATTCAGAAGAGATATAGTTATGATACTGTTGTCAGATCATTAAAGATGGCATATTTTGGTATTAATATTGATTCACTCATAGGGTCTTTGCATCGGAAATAAACACATTTATTCTAAAACCAGATGTTGGCATGATACGGGTTATGTTCTTCTCATATATTTTATGATGGTATGAAACTAAAACCCTAACGGGAGGGATTGTGCTTGATGTTCATATGATGACGACATAATCTTTCAATCAGTTTAACCGAGGTGGCATGTCAGTAACTGCTAGTAGTCCCTTGTTTATTTATGTATCATTGTTATTTTGCTTAGTTTCTTAAGTTACCTATTCTGACATCGGACTCGGACTTCTTTTAAACTGAGTTTTACTGTGCGTATTACTGTGTGTTTGTTTATTCTACATTGGATAGAGGTATAGGGAAGGGTTGAGATCTCACAAAACATGCTTAACTCCGCCGCATTTTTGCGCCTGTCTCAAGTGAGGAGCCTCTGGCCTTTGTTAGTCTTGTATGTTTTTAATTTTAGTTTATTTATATGTTTTGGAGTTTAGTGTGACGTCTATTTTTATTGAACTAGTACACATTTTGTTTAGGGGCCAGCTGAAGCCCACCTCCGGGTGCGGTATTTTCTCGCTGTGTTGAAGACCCATTGGTGGCCGTCGGCTGTTTTCTGCCGTTTGGTCGGGTTGTTGTCTCTTTGACACATTTCCCATTTCCATTCTCAATTTTATGCGTCTTAAATCACAAGCTGCATGCTTTGGCAGTCTAAAATCTTTTAATTAGATACCATAATATTAGTGAAATCTGTAATTTGCCGATTGTGACACTTTTACTTATTGTGGATTCGCATGGTGGGTGATGCATACATAGCAGAAGATGTTTTCCCTGTCCATCAGGTATCGCTCCTTTGGAAGTTCATACAACTTTCAGTTTTTGTGTATTCCCTTGATTTGTCTTCTAATACGATTTATGAGATTGGAATACCGGTACATGTTGTATTATAACAGAAGCTTTCGTTTTACACTTCTTCTTGACAAGGGTTAAATTATTGATATTAGTTGAACCGGAAACACATTTCATCGACCAGTCTGTGATGTTAAGAAAAATAACGGCGAGTACTTTAAGATTTTAATTTTCCTTTTTTTTTCTCCCGTGGACACTTGTTCAACAAGGTTTTATCCACCATTTTCTACATGAGGAAATGCCTGTACTAAGTCAGGAATATGAAAATTGTTTTCCATTCGTTTGATGTGTTTGGGCTTTTGATTTTGCCATTTGCTTAGGGACTTTCCGACATAAATTTTCCTTGGAGTTCCGTATTTTTGTTATTTTACATTTTGTTGATTGTTCACTTGAGATGAGTCAAATCCTTTCCAACTGAGTTTACATTGATTTTAATGTTTTATTTTTACCCCACTGTCCCAGGTTAGGGGACGCTTGATCGATCACAAACTTGTGAACGCTACACATTTCTCAATATATGCATATAACCCAGTGCTTTTTGTTGGTAGCTTCCTGTCATTATTGTTTTGTTTTGTTTTTCTTTTTTTTTTCGAAGCATAAATCAGGCCGTCGGAATTGATTCACACTATGTTCATCCGGGTCCTTGCTATGTTATTTGAGTTTTGTTCAATGTAGCTGTCTTAATTTATTCGAACTTTTAAATTGTGTTTTAGCGTAGAAACAAGTAGAACGTTAATATTTTTTCATTTTTTCCCATAAGTGTTTTTTTTAGTTATAAATCGTTCCATTCCTTTAGTTCTATAAGAATTGAAAGACAGATGAATTTTAGTATAATATTTCTTTGTTTTCTCGCCAAAACAAGTTAACGGCATAGGTATCCAATAACAATGTTTATGTCATCGTCTTTGACCTAGCATTGTAAAGGTCTATAATAATATCCCCAGTAATAACTTATTAACCTCCCTCAAAAAACTAATTTATTGACCCAATGTTTATAACAACAAAAGATTTTTTGTTCATCTCTTTTTTCTATTTCATTAACCTTTTTTTTTAAGATTTTGTCTCCATCGTGTCTTTCGACCATACGAGGAAAGGAAGTCAACAGGGAAAAATTACAAATATGTTCCGCATGTGTTTTTCTTTTTTGTAGATTCATACCAGTATAGGGACTGTTGGTAAGTTAGACATGCACAAAAAAGGACTTTTAATAAATTGTATTTAAGATCGAGATTGTTAACATAAGTACAAGTATTTTTGTTGTTGTTGTTTTTTTTTATGGGAAGGGTCTGTTGTTGAGGTATTGGGTACATTAACATCCTAATATTAATTATAAAGACAAACAATAAAGTGGTTGTATCACTCGTTGAATTACATAGGACAGTAATAGAAAAATTATGTAGATATTTTAATAAATCAATTATATTCAAGTTGAAGTAACAAATGCTTACATGTTTGAAAGTAAATCCAGAGGTTTTTTTTCTACCCTATAATATTGGTGCTTAGTCAGAAGTTTGGCAACATCTATGAACTCGAATAATAGTATATAATTGCAAGAGGCAACAAATATTGAAACGTGTGAGTTGATGCAGATTTATTGACATTATAATAAAATCGTATAATCTCTTCTTTTCAACCATCTGTCTACCCACCTGCAAATAAAAAAGAATATGTAAATAAGATTGTTCTTAATATAGAAAAAAAAAAGTAAGCCGTGTAAAAACGACAAAAGGAGATTGAAGCATTTATAGTGTAAACCATCATACAGTTCTCATTCAATGATCAAAAGATCGTTTAAAAAGTTCAAATAAGCATTTAAAGAAAAATGAGTAAAGGACACAATAATGAAAAACAAACAAATATATGGAATGAAAATACACGGAGTACAAAGATAACCCAGCTTATATATGTAAACACTTTGGAACCAAACCACAGCAGTTTCGTCGGATTGCATTGGTAATGAAATTCAATATAAATAGTAACATTGTACTTTAAAGTGCATTTGTTTTCAGTCATAGCAAAATATATCCCTCATGATTACCATGCATTTAATATTTCTGTATTACTACTGAATTTTCCAATGTTAAGCAAGCAAATGTATAAAAATAAACAAAATAAAATAATGAAATATTTCTTAAAAGTCTTGACTTTTAACAAAAGTACTTACAATAGTTAGTCTCGCATATGAACGGGCGACTGTTGTAACAGCTGTTGTCATACCACTCTGGTTTATTGCCACTGTTGTAAGATACACAATTGCTGCTGGTTCCCTTTGATCCATACCCACTTACCCAGTTTGTGAAAGTGGTTTTTGATTGGTCGAAAATCCATCGGAAATGTCCTTCGTAGAGATCCGTTAAACCGATCCAAAAGGCATTATCTGGAAATATGTAAATAGATATTAGACTATCGAATATTTGCAAATGTATCTAGAATCAGGAAAATTAATATTTTCACATATTTTTAATACTCCTCTTTTTATTTATCATTAAGTTGTTATAATTAAGGATACATGTTTTAAATCAATACGAGAATACGTACTGTGGGATCTATGTGCATATACCCATTTGTTTTCTGACGTTGTGTCAAGTTTCACTAAGTATCCTCCGATTTTCCTGCAATAGCTCTACAAAACAAAGTGTTTTTGTTTATTTCTGATTCAAAAGTATCTAAAACCCTGCAGTTTCTTTTGATTTCTTTTCTGTGAATAATTATTTCAATTGTACAACATTATAAATTACGTTAAACATATTGATTCAAAAACAGGCAATCTTTTAGGTTGAACAATGAATCAAATAATGTCATTTCACATGAAATTTTAAAAGAAATATTTTAGTATATTTTACCTCTGCTTTAAACCAAGTTGCCCTGTGGCTGCTTGTAGTAAAATAATAGCAATGACCATTATACTTTTTCCAGCGTTTCTCTAAAATGACAATATTATAATACAGACATTTATTTTATTTGACAAAACGCATGACATAGGCGGTAGTTATGAAGCAGACATTCTAGTTTCGGTAGTATTCTTAATTTCAAGTTCACTGGAATATATCAAATGTAAACATTCGCTGAAGTGTCGGTTATTGAGTGACAGAACATCATCAATATATCTGAAATAAAGATAAAAGAACTTTGCAAGATGTCTTCGTTTTTGTTTTGAGACAGTATTGTTTGAATTCTGCTTCATATAAGTACAAAAACAATTCAGCCTTTAGGGATTGATAATTAGTACTCATTTAAATTCCGACTGTTTTTTTGAAATACCAATACTCCAAGCATCAAAAATATGTTGATAAAAAAATCCGGTATTCCAAGTCATCTTTGTTGTATTTCTTTTTTCTTAATCATTGCGGTTTCTCACAGTAAATTTGTTCATGAGCTGAAACAATGTGTATATGCAATTCTCATTTTTGTAGAAAAACTCTAGTAGATGAAACTATGTAGCATGAAGTCAAGATGGGCCGAAACATATCAGTAGAAACAGTATCACGACAAGATTGCTTGAGAAAATGCAACCTTAGAATTTGAAAATTTGTGACAGGCATATTTTCCTGTTTCATTTAATTCATATCAAATCTAAAGCGCTGGCTATCTTCAGGGCCTGACAGTTTTATAGGTTTTAACAAACTTATTAAGTTCACATATTAAGCTAGTTTTAACTTTTAGAGGGAACAAATACACTTATCTCAATAACATAAGATTATTTACCTTCAAAATGATGAGAAGATACTGCTTATACGTTCATTGTATCATTGTATTAGATCAGTTCTTCTTTCGTTAATATATGAAATGAGAACTGATTTAAAAATACACAATGTAAACAGTTATTAAGTATATTTTCTTCATTGTACTTACTATCTATTCTGTTTTTCTGCCTTTTTTATTTTCTTTCCAGCATTGTATTTTAGATTATAAAGTATACTTCTGGACTGCTGAATTTGACTCTTCGTGTAGGTGTCCAGCTCTTTTAGAACTTGTTTGGCGTAACTGAAATCTCGTGACTCATTTGTCAGACAGGGTAACTGAGTAAAGCTGAATACAGTATCACATACAAACAGGAAAATGCAAAGATTACAGAAAAACATTTTTAATTAAAAATGTGTTTTGATCTGAAAAAGAAAAAAAATCTAAAAAGTACTCATATGAATATTATAATTCTGTCAACAAGATAATTTCCTAACTTTAATAACAAACGGAAAATTATAAAGTTAAAAAGTCAAGATCATCTTAATACTAACAGCAAGGGTAAATTTCCGTTGTATCATTTAAAATTTTGTTTATAAATTTGATACGTCTTCATACCTGTTTTGTCCTTTAGATCACTTTGGTTGTCAGTGTACATGTATGTTCAATGCGTGCACATAAACAAGTGTAAGAAAAATTATTGCATGTTATTTTCATGATAATTAGTTTGAATTGAAAGTATGCCAGCTTAATAAGGTGCACGCAATCTTGCAATTAAACTTTCTAAACTAGTGCATATGAAGTTGCACATATTTTTTTTAACTTATACATAGTGTGTCTTATTTTGTTTTCACTTTTCTTTCGAGACAAGATGACGAATATAGTTGTCTTAACTATTGCTGTGGTGTCAATATAAAAATAAGAAGATGTGGTATGATTGCCTATGAGACAACTAGTGTCCCGACATGAAAAATGTGAAACAATTCAATTGAGAAAACTAACAGCCTTATTTAAAATAAAACAATTAACGAAAAACAAATATGACAGACATGAACCAGTAACAACTATAGCTACTGACGTCAGACAGGCACATAAAGAATGGGGCGGGTTTAAACATGTTTGTAGGCGCTCAACCCTCCCCTAACCTAAGGCAGTAGATACGCTATAATATTTATATTGATTTATTTTTTTGGCCAAAGTACTTTTGATTTTTTATTGTTAATACCTTTTTAGCTCACCTGGCCCGAAGGGCCAAGTGAGCTTTTCTCATCACTTGGCGTCCGTCGTCCGTCGTCGTCCGGCGTCGTCCGTCGTCGGCGTTAACTTTTTACATTTTGAACTTCTTCTAGAGAACCACTGAATGGAATGAAACCAAACATGGCATGAATGTTCCTTATGAGGTGCTGACCAAGTGTTGTTACTTTGTAGCCGATCCATCATCCAAGATGGCCGCCAGCGGGGGACTTAGTTTAACATAGGACCCTATGGGAAATGCATACAAATGACTTCTTTTAGAGAACCACTGAATGGAATGAAACCAAACATGGCATGAATGTTCCTTATGAGGTGCTCACCAAGTGTTGTTACTTTGTAGCCGATCCATCATCCAAGATGGCCGCCAGCGGGGGACTTAGTTTAACATAGGACCCTATGGGAAATGCATACAAATGACTTCTTTTAGAGAACCACTGAATGGAATCAAACCAAACATGGCATGAATGTTCCTTATGAGGTGCTCACCAAGTGTTGGTACTTTGTAGCCGATCCATCATCCAAGATGGCCGCCAGCGGGGGACTTAGTTTAACATAGGACCCTATGGGAAATGCATACAAATGACTTCTTTTAGAGAACCACTGAATGGAATAAAACCAAACATGGCATGAATGTTCCTTATGAGGTGCTGACCATGTGTTGTTACTTTGTAGCCGATCCATCATCCAAGATGGCCGCCATTGGGGAACTTAGTTTAACATAGGACCCTATGGGAAATACATACAAATGTCTTCTTTTAGAGTACCACTGAATTGAATGAAACCAAACATGGCATGAATGTTCCTTATGAAGTGCTGACCAAGTGTTGCTACTTTGTTGCCGATTTACTGTTCAAGATGGCCACCAGGATATTTTATTAAATAACGGGACCAATATTAATCAATATTTGGCCTCAATCATTACTGTTATGATTTTTATCTTTCATTACATGATTTCTAAAACCAAAGTAGAGTCAGGTGAGCGACACAGGCTCTTGAGAGCCTCTAGTTTATATTTATAATCCATATATGGATGGATATGGTGGGTTATAATTTTTGAAAAATGATTATGTTCATTAAAATTTCATGAATTCATAAGATTTCAGACATTAATAAATCCAATATCATTTATACATGTACATAATTTTAAAAAAAAACGTTGAAAGTTAATTCATTACATATCAGCAAGTTTAGTTGTACGACACATTGTTAAGAATATATGATTTTGGTTCTTGCACAAAATGTGGTGAGGTTGAACTAGTTTTACATTCGCCCTTTTGACAATATACACTTAGTTTCTGTTGTACGTACGAACGAACGAAAAAAAGGGGGGGGGGGGGGTTAACGACCTTGACTACCCATGTACGTTTTTCCTGGCTTGATAAATCAAATTTAAGACGATACAAACCATTCGACTTCATCGTATGAACGTATGAACGAGTGGTCAAACGTACAATTTCAATACTATTTTCATACGCGATGTACCTTGAAAATACAAAACTAAAAGACAGTAGGACAAGAAATAAATATTTAAGTTGAAACTTTTAACTATGCTTTAAAGAATCACCCCCAGATTTTGTTTCACCTTTAATGAAAAGTATTTTGAAGAGAATAGGGAACATCAAAAACCAACTACAGTTATTGTACAATTGTATGGAAAAGAGAAAGAACATATTAAAAAAATGAAAATAAGCAATAATGTCAAGAAATATATACTTTTAAACAAATTAAACACCGAAAAATATTTAAAAGTGGGTCCATACCCCAGCGCCTGTGTTTATATGTTAATATAAAAATAATAAGATATTGTAGGATAGTAAATGAGACAAACTTTCCACTAGGGACCAAATGACGTATATATAGCTGCAAACATCTATTGTTCACTGTACGGTTTTCAACAATGAGCAAAACACTTACCATATAGTCAACTATAAAGCGCCCAGATATGACAAAATGTGAAACAATTCATACGAAATAACCAGAGGTCTCATTTATGTTAAGAATATAAAGCAATAAACGAAAAACATACATAATAGATGGCAATCAATGACAACCAACGAATTACGGGTTCCTGGCTTGAAACAGGCACATAAAGAACATGTAAGCGAGCGCTCAAATCTAGCCATTCCCTGGGACTAGTGTCAAGCTATCCAGCAATTCTCATCCTGCAATTCTCTTGCGATAAAGCTATCCTGCAATTCGTCATCCTGCAATTGCGTTCGGAAAACAACTTGAGTGACAATTTTCTTTTTTTTTCAAAATCACGGTTTTTGACTTGTTTTGTTTGAAAAAAAGGATAAATATCAAGTTTTTTATATCCCATTCAAAAATTTCAAACTTTAGTTTACAAATTTCTAACTCATCTTTACGATCTATAACTAGAATTTACAATTAGAAAAATCATGACGATTCACAAAGAGTTATATATCTGTGAAGTCCCGGATATGGTTCGTTTTTATGCATCATGTGCATATTTAATAATTTCTTGGGTAAGCTATCTTAAAGGCCCAAAATTTCGTTCGAAACACGGAATAAAAGCCAAATCCTAAAAAATACACATTGGGGTACCCACTTTCCGACCCATTGTTTCGGTAGTTCTTTATGGCTAGGGATTATAGAATCTGCTTCAAAGAATAGCTATAATATAGTACTACATCTGGAGGGTAAAGAATTTCTGGGGTAAGCATTCTTAAAGGCCAAAATTTCGTCCAAAATATGGAAATAAAGCTAAATTCTATAAAATACGCATTCGGGTACCCACTATCCGACCCATTAATTCTGTAGTTCTTTATGGCTAGGGATTATAAACTCTGCTCTAATAAATAGCTATTGGATATTACTACAACGGGAAGGTAAAGAATTTCTGAGGTAAGCATTCTTAAAGGCTCAAAATTGCGTTCGAAACACGGAAATAAAGCCAAATTCGATAAAATACGCTCTAGGGTCACCCACTTTACTACCAATTGTCTGGTTAGTTCTTAATGGCTAGGGATTAATGACACTCTTCAATGAATAGCTAT